CTTTCGTTTGTAAATAGTGCTTATTGTTGCTAGAAAATATAGCCGTTCCCTTCCTTTGCCTTTTCGATCAATCTTTCCACGTTTTTAGTGCAAAATAATTGGAGTAGATCTTTTGGTCAAAACATTTTCAATTGACCGCAGTCTCGGCCGCAGCTGAGAAGCATATGGAGGATTGAATCCTTGGGTATTAAAGATAAGCACTTAATCTGATTTATCGTTCTGCTTGCGAATGAAACGATGGTCAGCTCACAGCTCAAAACACTGCATAATTTCCGCATAAACCGGGACACTTGTTGCAAAATGATGCTGCTTCTCTTTGGACTTCAAAATGTATGCAGTTAACTCCTAATTTGCGGGGTCGTATTTTTTCTCCTACGAATCCAAAATGAAATCAAAAGTTGATGCAATTGGCTCCAAACATTTAAAAAAAAAGTTTAACGAAAAAAAATAGTGCATACATTTTTCTTCTAAGTATACAAAAATATTTAAGATTAGAAGAAGTATTGGCGTGGAGTTTCCCCACTTTTTTGCCAGAACTACAGGAAAACAATACGTATGGTTTACAATAACGTTTCAGGATTAATCGTTGGGTGGCAGGTCATTGCATACAAAACCAGCGAAAAATGTATACTTTTTAGATTGCAAATGTTAATATATTTGTTTACTGTGTGACGCAAGGGAGGAGCTAGCTATATAGTTATAAATAAAGGACGTAAATAGTTAAGGAAAAACCAAGACATAAGTTCAAAAGTTCTAAAGAGGCAAAGATTTATAAACGACGCTATAATTATTTTAATAGAATTGACTACCCCCTTGATCCCCTTTCTCATTTTACAGCTGGTATAATAAATTTGACAGATCGATGCCTTTCTATACCACTTGAAATCACTAAAATGGGGTCGATTTTTTATTATCGAGTTCCACATATGTTATGTGACTTTACTGAATTTACGGAAACTACAGTTGAGATTAAAGATCTTTAGGGAGGCGACGTAGCTTGTAGAAGTTCTGAGACTACAGGGAATTTCCATGCCGGAACTAATAAGATGTTCTAAGCGGTTCTAAGAACAAAAACCACAACATTTTAAAGAAGTTGGGACGCCAGACAGGAAAATGAAGTTAATGAAGTTCCAAGAACTTATGGACAATTTTTAAAACTTTATTTATTAGCATAAGAAAGATTGCGGAAACCTTTAAGAAGTTCTGGGAATTTAATTTATTTATTTATTTATTTACACTTAAATCTAAATGTAGTCACTCATTAAAAATTAAAAATTGGCCAACAGCAAACGATGACGAAACATCGAGGCATTGATGTAAAAGTCAAATAGGTCAGAGGCTTCGTTGAATTGATGAATTATTGCGACAAAGGAACTGTTTGCAGCATAGTTGGTTGCATGTACTACTTCATGTAGCAAGGTTCTCGGACGGAGTGTTCGGGCAGGAGCATACAGATTAATTTTGGCCAGTAACTCAGGAACATCATATTCTGCGAGTAAAACTTTAGCAACGAAGACGACCTGCGATATGTTTCATCGCTTAGCAAGAGTATCCAAACCCAGTAAACGACAGCGGTCAGCATACGGTGGTAAATTCAGCGGGTCACTCCATGGAAGATAGCGCAGTCTGACGAATTTGCGTTGAACAGCTTCAAATCGTCCACTCCATACAGCTTGGTAGGGATTCCAGACAACACACGCGAATTCCAGTAGTGAGCGCACCAATGAACAGTAAAGGGCTTTAAAACACAGAGGATCACGAAATTCCTTAGATATCTTGAACATGAATCCAAGCTGTCGATTAGCTTTGTCGATCGTGGTTGAGAAGTGGCGAGTGTATGTGAGCTTTTCATCCAACATGACACCGAGGTCTTTAACGTGATCGACACGTTGAACTGCAGTTCCAGCAACGTTATAATCAAACAAAATGGCAGTCATAGTTCGACGGAAACTAATTACGCAGCACTTTGAGACGCACAGGACCATAAAATTACGTTCACACCAATCATTAAAGATTTCAAGAAGGTTTTGTAGTTCTAAACAGTCGGCATAGCCTCGAACGACTAGATAAATCTTCAAGTCATCGGCAAAAAAACAATTTACCTCCACGTAGTAGAATAAACGTTACATCGTTCACAAATAAAGAGAAGAGCATTGGTCCCAAAGTGCTACCCTGTGGAACTCCTGATCTGTTCGAGAAACAGTACGATGAGTAGTTTCCAATGCATACAGTAACTTCACGTTGCACGAGGTACGATCTAAGCCAGCTGCAGAAGGAAACAGAACATCCAATTTTTTTAAGCTTTGCTAGCAGAACGTCGTGCACAACTCTATCAAACGCAGCTTTAAGATCAGTGTAGATGGCATCCACTTGAAGTTTCTTGCATACATTTTCCATACAGAACGACGTAAAGCTGACGAGATTAGTTTCCACGGAGCGGCCAGGAAAGAAACCATGTTGACATGTACTTATGTAATGCTTGCAGGAAGCAAACAATCTCTCATTTATCAGCGACTCAAACAGCTTAGATTCAACCCCAAGCGAGGTAATCCCACGGTAGTTTTCCACATTGCGTTTGTCTCCTTTCTTGAAAACAGGGAACATAGTAGACCGTTTCCATAGTGCGGGAAATTTCTGTTGACGAAGTGACAGGTTGAAGAGCAAGGACAACGGAGCAGCTAAGATATCGGAGCATTTTTTTAGGACTGCAGATGGAATAACACTCGGACCTGGTGAAAATGATGATTTGGTTTTACTCATCACAGAGAGAACCATTTGTACATCTACGGCAAAAACATCAATGTTTACGACGTCGGTTGGCACATCACGGACGGCTCGCTCAATTTATGCTTGCGATGGGGAGTTATTTGAGAAGACGCTTAAGAAGCGCCTAGCAAATAGGCTGCATTTGTCCTCAGTTGTCAATGCCGAGGTCAATGCTACGTCATTGCCGAGAAACATTTTTGACGGCAGTCCAGTTTCCTTCCTCTTAGTATTCACAAACGACCAGAATCCCTTGGGGTGGCATTGCAGATTATGTTGAGTACGAATTACATACCTCTTGTAAAGAAGCTTGTTGTAGTGGCGATAATCGTAAATGTCGCTTGGTAAGGGTACATCGTCGATGAGTGAGAGCACGGAGAGCTCTAGATCGCACTCGTTTCAGGTTGCGGAGAGTAGCGTTAGACCAAGGCGGTTTTCTTGGAGGTTGGCACTTCGGTACTGAAGCACAAACACAGTCACGCAAAAGGCTATTACAGCGAGCGGCTGCTGTATCGATATCAAGGTCATTCAACACGTTCCAGTTGATCCGGGACAAGGAACGTCTCAGAAAACGGAAATCGGTCTTCCGGAAATTGAGCCGAGTGGCAGTCATGGTTTCATCAAAACGAATTTCAGATCCGTTCGCGCTGGCAGGAGTAGTTGAAGATGCAATCGGATCTGGAAACGCATAACCCTGGCCTGAGGGTGACCAGCTAAGCCCAGGCTGATTAAAATCACCAAGCAGAAGAAGCACATCCGTTATATCAGCCATGGACGATGCAAATTCTGTAGCATCCAGATGAAGCTGCATTGTGGTGCAGTCATGTCGACGTTCAGGGGGAATATACACCGCTCCAATGAGGATGTTCTGCGAAGTGAGGCTGACCTTAACCCAAACCGCTTCAATTGTAGTAAATAGTTCGTTGGAGATTACGCAGGAGGCGAATTCGTTGGAAACAGTGATGAGCACACCACCACCGCGAGTACAAATGCTGTTGGATGAATTACGGTCTAATCTGTAGACAGTAAAAGAGTCACCAAACAGTTGCACTGAATTGATCCTCCCATCGAGCCAAGTTTCCGTGAATACATAAACGTCATATTCCCCGTCAAGCGCAGCCAGATAAACATCGTCCAATTTAGTCATGAGCCCCCTGGTGTTCTGATAGTAGACACGTAAACCGCTAGAGGGTTCAGTGCGAGCCGTGTCAATGATAACTTGTCCAGGATCCGCACGAGAGAACGGTGAACTATCAGGCAGCGAAAGATCACCTGACGTAGAAAGGCTCGAAGTGGTGGCCATAAGCGAAGATGAACTGAAACGAAGTGGCGGATCAACAGTTGAATTCACATGGACGAGTTCATACTTGCCGTAAACGAGTGGTTGGAAGAATTTAAAGGAAGTTCCGAAAACATCAGGGTAATTCCAAATATTGCAGGAAAACATCGAGAACATCACTGGTGATCAAAAAGCTTCTGGCAATTCCATTCCGGAAAATTGCACGAACTTTTAAATAAATTACTGAATTTACGAAAACTTCAGTCGAGATTAAAGATCTCTAGGGAAGTGACGTACCTTGGAGCAGTTCTGAGATTTCAGGGAATTTCCATGAATATCAGGAAAATTGTGGTAAGTTCAGGGTAATGGTTCTTAACAATCCATTATTTTAAGGTCCACTTCCAAAAAATAAAAACCATAATACATAAGGTTAAAACTTTGTCACACAAACGTTCATGTAAAGTTCCACAAAACTGATGATGTACTAAAAAATATTCCATACGATTTGACAGGTAGCAAAACGTCATTATCATTTTCACATCATTTCCATCTGCTGGTCGACCGTAACGTACACGGATAGAAATCCCCTTATACCTTTTGCCAAATTTCTATTGCTGATTCTTCATAAAATGTATAAGCGAAGACATAAGTCAACAAATAAGCAGACACCTTTCAAAAAGTTAATGAAGATTATGTGTCAAATGATATATATAAATAGTCACACATACCGTTTATGCATTCTTGTGGACCTATGTGGTTTGTCTTATGGAATGTATAAGGCTGTTTTTTTGGCAAAAATGTATTAGTGAAACACATGAATAAAATAATTAAATTTCGTTTCGTGTAAATTCATCAATAATGCCAGCAAGCAAAGTGGTCCAATTCCTCTGGGGAAACGTGTAGTCCCTGTTTAGCGTGCAAACCTGCAGGTAAACAAAAAACAAAGAAGAATCTTGTCCTTGTCATCGCAGTTAGTGTTTGTTACCCGGAAAATGGACGCTACAAAACATGGATAGTAAGTTCCGTCCGTAAGTAAAATACCACCCTCGAAATCTCACCGCCCTTATTTTTGTTCCAGTGCCATCTCCGCCAGTGGTACCTTCTGTCGACTGTGCCTTAAAACCGACGCGATCGAAATCGTCGTCCAATCGCCGGAGGAAGCCAACGAATCGCTGCTCAACATCATCAGCGAATGCCTCGGGATATGGCTCACCGTGACGGAAGACTTCCCGCTGGCCATCTGCCACTCGTGTTCGATGTCGATGGAAGCGATCCGCCAGTTCCGGTACAACTGCCAGCAGTGTGATTTCTACCTCCGCAGTCAACGCTCGGCTGCACCTCCACCAGCGCCGACACCGGTGCTAGTGGTTGATAGTGATTTAGATTCTTCGACGGAACATAAACCACTGATATCGCATTCAGGGATGGAACCGGCGGCGATAGCAGCGTCACAGGGTGTGGTCGCAGTGCAGGAAGTCCGGTACGAAGAATCGACAATTAGTGTGAGCGATAATAACGGAGTAGCCGGATCGATGGAGGGGCAGATGTGTGAGCAAATGGTGGTTATGGAGCAGCATCCGGTGGAAATGAATATCCCATTGAAGAAGTTTGACTGTCCGGAGTGCGGCAAACAGCTGTACAGTTCGCGGATGCTGGCACAACACGTAGTGCGGGAGCATCGGCTGTGTCATGGGTGCGACCAGTGTGGAATGTCCTACAACAGCAAGCAGAAGCTGGATTCACACAAGGAAAGCTGCTCTGGGCGGCCATCCAAATTCATATGCACTCAGTGTCCCAGTGCGAAGGTGTTTGCCACGGCCATAAGTCTTTCCATGCATCTGTATTATGCCCACGACAGTATTAAATCCGTTGTCTATCGGTGCGAGGCGTGTAAGAAGAATTTCAAGAACCGGACGGGTCTCAAGTATCACTACAATGCACGCCACGGATGCACGATGGTGGAATGCGAGATCTGCCGGAGGCCGTTTCCCACGGAGGAAAGCTTGTACTACCATAAACAGGCAGATCACTGAGGGGGGATTCAAACTAGGCACTTAGGGTAGCGATTTGTACAAAATATGTATTTCGACTGAATATTCAATATAATAAAGACAAAATGTTAGCAGCTGTATTGAAGTTCTTTTTGTTATTACTTTTCCGCAGCTGGCTTCTGTTTGGAGAAACGTAGATCGTCACTGGCGACGTCGTTCATGGCGTTGGCGTGGACTTTCTCGCGGGCAAACTTGGGAGGAATTCCAATGGTACAGTTGACGAATTCGGGATATCGCTTTGAGTCATTCTTGCTGGCCAGGTGCAGGGGAACTTCTGGCACTGGTGCAGCCGCAACTCCTCCAGGAATGCTGTTCAATGCAGTGAGCCTGTAATCAAAGTTGAAATCAAATTTATCCAGAGTTAGGTATTTCAAATAGTACATAATGTTTGCTTCAGACTTACATCTTGTTATTTCGCTCGAAAGGTGTACACTGATGAGAAAAGCGAAGGTCTTCAATTATAATGGTCGTACAAAACAACATCGAACAAAGGATTCTACTATTTAATCAAAATGGAACAAGGCAGCTGATCAAACAGCGCTGAAGGAACCCTGCTATTTGAGAATTTACCAATTCTGCAAAGTTTTCTAAGACGCATTACTCAAAGGGTTGTTGAGTCATGTTTATTTTCTTAATATTGTTTGGTAAAGCTTCTTAAATAAAGAAATGCTTAAACGTTTACGACGAAGTCCCATTTTGTAAATTACTTCCTCCGTCTACATCGTCATGGGTTTTTCTGTGACGCTGAAATGTGTGCCACTGGCGAAACTGAGCATTACACCTATTACAACAGTAGTGAGTCGGATTTTCCGACCCAATGTACATGTTCATCTGTTTGCGAATATCCTTCGGAGAAATGGGGTTCAATTCTCCTGGCCGCTTCTGTGGGTGTCTCAGCCGTGTTGCGGCCACGGCTGCAGCCATAGCATCGGCGTCGTGTTTTGAGGAATGCTTCAAATTCATGTGCTTCTCGAGGTTTGACTCCTTGACAAATGCCAGCTTGCAAACTTGACATTCAATTTTTCGGGGAGTTTTCTTGGACTTGGTCGGTTTTTCATTCCATTGGGTCGTGATGCTATTGCTGCCCTCCGAGTGAACGTTCAGCAGCTCGACTTTGATATCACCGACCATGATTGTATTACCGCTGCTCAAGAAGTCAGCATTAACACTAGGTTCCTCCTGAGCCACGGAAGAAGGTAAAACTTCCTCGATAAGCAATTCCGGTTCCGGAGAGGCGCATTCCTGTTTGCATTCAACCACATCGGAATCAAAGGATGGTGACTCTCCCACCCGACTGTTGCTTAAAATTGCATCGCAAACCTGGGCCCGTTCCCGAAGGGCTTCAAATGTTTCGAGCGCAGCCGAGCACAGTCGACATACGGTACAGGGGAAATCCACTTCCGGAGTAAGCGCTACACCGAGACAGATCTGAATTTGGGCCACCATGGGATTATCGCTGGATTGCAGGAGCCATCGCAGTTGGTGCTGGGAGAAGCACAACCGGCAATACCCGGTCGGATCTACGCTGGGGCTGAATGAATACGATGTCGTGGGATTAAATTAGATTAATGAACATTCAGTAGTGCCATATAATTATTACTTACATTTGCATCGGGCTTTCACGGGTTTTGATTTAAATTTGAAAACAAATCGAAGCCTTTGGCGTCGGAACAACACCAGTGTTTACGAAAACAGCAACAAAATTTGATAAACAAAGCTTTCTCTTGAAGTGTACAACCTTTTCGCTTCCGCGAGTGAATCGAGTGAATCAGATGTCGTTTGTGCGGTGTTGCACCGGTGTAGTGTAAGCGGCATTAAACGCGAGTCGTTGTCAGCTTGACATCATTTGTTTTTAAACAAAGGTTCATCCGACATTTATACCCTGAACTATTTCAGTGTAGTTACACGACACCGCAAAAAACGAAAAAGAGCATACAAATCTGGATGAACCATTCGTTCGAGTAGTCTCCCGCAGCGTTGCCAGATATACCGCTTTTAGAACTAGATACCGAAATACACCGATAAATTAAACTATTCCCATTTTGCTTGAAATTTAATCAGTTTGACATTAAACTCAGTTTAATCCAGTCCAGTGGCAGGCGCGTAGGCAACATAGGCGGGTCCAGCACAGTAAAATAAACGATTTGAGCCCGGGACATGCTGCCTACTGTCAAGCGCTGCTGTTGGTATAGGCCTGGTTTAATTATATCGAATGATTAAAAATTAATACTCTTTTTTTAAAAAAATAAGCATCTGCTATTAATCCCAGTTTAATCATGGTTGATTAGATTGGAGATTATCTTTTTTGAATAAATTTTAATCATTTTTTATTCTATTTTAATAATTTTTGATTGAATTTTAATCTTTTTTGATTATATATCAGTATCGAAAAGAATAATCTAATCTAATCTAATCTCTAATCTAATCTCACACTAACGCAGCCAATACTTTGAAAGCATCCTGGAAAATGACGGCTTCACGAATCCGCCATTTTTCTTGTCAACGGCCAGGCCAACTGCGCAGCATGTGCCGCAGAGAGGATTTCAAGGAGTCAAGTGATGTCGGAAATGAATATCTGAAACCACTCCACAACCTGAGATCAAGGGAAAGGAAGAAAGCGTGGAATGGCTTTAAACGCCAATACCCTGAGAATTAAAGCACAATTAAGTAATACCCCGTTCACATTACAGCGTATATCACGTAATATACGCTGTCTTGCAATGAGCACTCATACATAGGATTTCCAGTGAAAACTAGATGTATGAGTGCTCATTGCAAGACAGCGTATATCACGTGATATACGCTGTAATGTGAACGGGGTATAATCTAACACCATTCTCTGATAGCAAAAACTTCCTTAAAGGAAGATAGAGCTGAAATTAGGGCGTAACAGCACCCGTAAACAATGACCTCTCTCGACGACTTCCAGAAAGCCAAGGCTCGCTCACTCAAATCAACGTCACTATCGGATAGGGGAAGTCTTCGGCTTCCCGTTGGATTGTGTTGTGAATGCGATAAATTAGCAATAATTGAAGAATGTTCTCGAATCACCCAAGACGATGCAAAGAAGTAAAATTTCAAAATCAAATATAAACAGCTGTTCTGTTTCATCATCCCTTCGCTTAGTCAGGTTCAATGAACACGAGAGCAACGAAAATGACACAATATTATAGGTCAATTCTATGTAATAAGAAAACGCATATGCGGTACACTCTCGTTTGCTCCGTAGGATGTACAACGCAATAAACTCAGTATAGGGAAATTATACGCTTTCACCAGTTTAGCTTTGGTATAGGCGCTGCGTAGGAGTCAAGTGCATCCTAGACGTATGCATACATGTGAGATTATTCTGGAAGGATTGCGTTGGTCCCAAAATGCATCACATGATCTTAAAGGAGAACGATGGATAAGTTTAGATCAGGAATACTTTTTGTCTCTTTCGTTCTTATCAACATTACGTTAGGAAGATCTTAGCAGGAGACAAATCTTTCTAGGCTTAAACCCCTTTATAAGGCAAATTTTCAACTTAATAAACTGAATGTTTTCGTTAGTCTTAAAACATTTGTCGATCTGTTAAGATCCGAATTCCTTCCAGCCAGTACCTTCATCAGGTTTTAAACTAAGATTACTGATGAGACCAGAATCTCTAATTTAGTGAGAAGTTCAGTCCTCAGTTACAATCAAAGTCCAAACACCTGATGCTAAAGGCACTCCTTTTCTTTCTATCAAAATCTGAACCACGCTATTGTAACAGTCTCTTAATTTAGTAGAGTAACTGTCTTAGCGTCTTGAACAGTTTTTTGATAGAATCGAGAAAAAAAGGCACTCGCTCCAGCAGTCCCGGCAGGGCAACGGCGTACCATCCAAACCGTTCGGCGTGGTAAGTAAACCTTCGCGTGATTAAACAAAGCTTGGGACAGCTTGTTTTAACTCCTCTGCCATCCGTGCCGAACAGATTGCGTTGACGTGCCCTGAGTTTCGAGAAATCATCGAGAGAAGCCCCTGCTCACAAAAGCTGCTACGTCCTAATTCCAGCTCTATAAAGCTTTATCGAATGACATTATTTGTTTGCGTGGGATTGTTTTGATTCTCTAGAATTTTGTATTTAAAGCCACTATCTACACGAAACGAAAATCAATTATTTAATTCATGTGTTTCACTTATACATTTTTGCCAAAGCATCAGCCTTATACATTCCATAAGACAAACCACATAGGTCCTATTAGAATGCATAAAAGGTATGTGTGACCGCTTATACATTTCATTTGACACATGATCTTTATTAACTTTTTGCAAGGCGTCTGCTTATTGACTTATACATTTTATGAATAATCAGCAATGGAAATTTGCCAAAAGGTATAAGGAGATTTCTATCCGTGTACGTTCGGCTGTTCAGCCTATTTCTATTGTTGGTCTAGATTTCATCGCAATGTTTATATTTTTACACGAAACAGCTGTTTTCTGTGACGACACGTCTGCCATTCGCAGTATGGAATGTTGTGCTGCCGTGAACTTGAACTTTTGCTTAATCGGCTCGATCGGAGGTTTCCCTTCCTCTGTTCCATACACACCGACAGTACGGTAACCTGCAGACGCGGATTGCCTTGAATAGTGTTTTTACCTTCGTTACAAGCGAGGGCACGGTTATTAATTCCCGCTGTACGTCGAGACGGATTCAGGGGGCAAACGAGGAGTGAGCCCAACGCGGAAAACTTTCAATTTGATCATATAGTGAACGCTAATTTTATTCTAAAGTGTGGTGATTCTTCTTGCTTCGGTGTGGCTGCAAAACAGCCATTTGCTTCTCGATAACACAAACGTCAACCATATCAGTATCGAAAAGAATAAAATTTAATACTGGAAAGATTATTCCGAATTTAATTATGCATGACTACGTGTTACCGCGAGGCAATTAATTTAAAACCAAAACCATAAGATAACCACATAGTTGCATCTCGTTTGCATAGCCCTAGCTGACGTTGTTACCAAGGCCAAGAATATGAAATGAAAAGTAGGGCAAAAGGAGCGAGAGCTCGTTTTACATAATCTAACTGCAGTATTTACTTAGGAACGTTTCTGCGTTCAAGTAGGATAAACACGCCCACGCATGGCATGCTTGCGCATCTAGGTTACGTTTAGCTTTCCCTCTCTGTTTATCCTTAACGATATAATTATAATGTTTAAACGTTACAAATGTCTCATTCTTATTTGTAGAGCCATATCAGATCTGAGTTACAAAAATAAATAAACTTACAAGATATCTGAGAAATCCCAGATCTGAGAGGGCATAGTATATAAGGTCTAAACAACACAAATTTACCCTTTCAAGGGCGATCGGAATCCTAGCTTATTAGAATAGGCAAATTAGGTTAAAGTTCGGTATTGAAAGGGATATGTTAAACCCTGGACAAATCATGTAAAAGTTTTACATAATTATAAGTTGCTAATGCAACACGTAGCCGTAAGATCACTTTGTACAATTTTGTTGAATAAAATTAAGTTTCGTAGGTTACTCCAGATTCTTCTCTTTTTGAATCCGAAAGAACTTTCGGCCTAGAAGTGAAAACTTCTCTCCTTAACCGGAGAAAAAAGTAGCTCCTAGAAGAACTCTTGACTTGGAAGTGAAAACTTCTCTCCTTAACCGGAGAAAAAAGTAGCTCCTAGAATCGAGAAACAGTGTCTGACCTAGTAAGCGAAAGACTCTCCCTAACCGGAGAAGAAAGTAGCTTTTGGCGGCGACATTTCATGGTGGCTCCAGAGAGGAATCTTGGAGGACGTTTTCCGACGTTTTGAGCCCGCGAACTTCCAGTCAGTCGAAATCTGACTGTAAAGAACCGCAAGTTGGCAGTTCCAGTGGGCCTTTGTGCCAAATAGTGTGGCGTTAAGCCAAATAGCAGTCAGTCGAAATCTGACTGTAAAGAACCGCAAGTTGGCAGTTCCAGTGGGCCTTTGTGCCAAATAGTGTGGCGTTAAGCCAAATAGCAGTCAGTCGAAATCTGACTGTAAAGAACCGCAAGTTGGCAGTTCCAGTGGGCCTTTGTGCCAAATAGTGTGGCGTTAAGCCAAATAGCAGTCAGTCGAAATCTGACTGTAAAGAACCGCAAGTTGGCAGTTCCAGTGGGCCTTTGTGCCAAATAGTGTGGCGTTAAGCCAAATAGCAGTCAGTCGAAATCTGACTGTAAAAGAACCGCAAGTTGGCAGTTACAGGGGCCCATTGTGCCAAATAGTGTGGCGTTAAGCCAAATAGCAGTCAGTCGAAATCTGACTGTAAAGAACCGCAAGTTAGCAGTTTCAGTGGGCCTTTGTGCCAAATAGTGTGGCGTTAAGCCAAATAGCAGTCAGTCGAGTTCTGACTGCAAAGAACCGCAAAGTTGGCGTTTTAAGTGGGCCGTTGAGCCAAAGTGCAAATCTGACAAAGGTCAGATAGTTCGAACATTTGGGCTTGTCAAAGCCAAGTGGGCCGTTGAGCCAAAGTGTCAATCTGACAAAGGTCAGATAGTTCGAACATTTGGGCTTGTCAAAGCCAAGTGGGCCGTTAAGTCAAAGTGTCAAATCTGACAAAGGTCAGATAGTTCGAACATTTGGGCTCGTCAAAGCCAAGTAGGCTTATAGCCAAGTGATCTGAAAAGTTTCAGAAAATCCGGACATCGGTGGAAGTGGACATGAACGATTTGCA